AAGTGGAGAGCAAATGTTTTGAGAATGATGAGGGCAATGAAAGTACAAATGTGCTTTACACAACTGATGTATGTATGGATTGTGCTAAGAGTTGTATGAGCCCCTAACAAAACGATTTAAAAAAAGAGTGAGAGACAGGTACTCAGAACCCCAACACAAGCCACCCCTGCTCCTAGTCAGGGCCAGCAGCCCAGGTGACACTTCCTGGGGAGGGCGGACACAGCGTGTGCTGTTAACCATAGGCTCCCAAATGTATAGGCCCCTCAGAAATAAATAAATAATGCACCCCAGCCCAGCCCGGAAATGAAAAACTTTTGTATTACAGCCCATGATCCATGATGAAGTGGGGGTGTGGGGGAGGACGCATTTGCCTTTGCAGCCTCCCCGGACAGTTCTGCAGACAAGCAGCTTGCTGCAGGCCTCAGTGACAGCACGTTGCTGGGCGGGCGGGAGTGCGGGACTGGTAGGATGGTCTCAGAAGGCTTTCAAGGTTGGAGATGGGGAGTGGAGGGTTCAGCAGACATCTGAAGCGAGGGGAGGGTGTGACTGGGTGGGAGAGCATGGCAAAAGAAAGACCTGAAGATCCATGGCCCCATGATCGCGTACAGCATGGTCACCATGGCTTTCTTCCTCCTGTAAGGCCACTCTTTTAAAAGTGAATCTGTTGTTAGCCCCATCAAGAGGAAGAATCTTTTCTCCCATCCTTTCATCTGGGCTGGCCATGTGACTTGCTTTGGCCAATAGGATGGCCTGAAGTGCTCAGCCAGTTTTCCAGAGGCCTTGCGATTTCTGCTTACTCTCATAGAACAGTTTCCAGAGAAACAGCCTCCGGCTAGCCCACCAGAGATTGAAAAGCCTCACCAGGCGCAGAGAGGAACCAGCCAAGGCCATTCTAGATGGCCTGGCTTAACCCACACAGCAGCTGACTGCAGTTGCATGCATGAGCCCAGCCCAAGTCACCAGCCCCGAGAATCATAAGCTAAATAAATTGCTATTTGTAAGCCATTTAGCTTTGGGGTAGTTTGTTGTGCAGCAATGGCTAGTGGATAAAAAACAAACAAAACAAAACAAAAATAATGGCTACAGTTTTAGTAGTATTTAAAACTTAGATTTAAAAAAAAGGTTTAGAATATGTGGCAAGGTGGAAACAGCACACCTGTCTACAAAGGAGCAGCTAAGCAAACTAGCAGCCACTAAAACTGGCAAACGCAAGCCTGAATTGTGCTGAGAAATATGAACATATGGTCCTATGTATGCATACAACAATTAAAGTATTTTTTACTTATTTAAGGAATCCACAAAATATTAAGTCGTGACTAAGCCATGATGCAAAACAAAAATCCTCACAATTGGACCATTAAACATCACGATAAACAGAGAAGAGAAGCAACTTGTCAAAGACTTAAATTTACTTGGATCCAAGACCAGTGCTCATGGAAGCAGCAGTCAAAAGGTAAAATGATTCCTTGCGCTGGGCAATCTGCTGCAAAGACCCCTTTAGAGTAGGGACTGAGACGCAGCTGAACTGCATCATGGCGGTTTCCATCGCTCCGTCGGCACGCAGAAGCTGGCCAGGGAAGAAGACCAGAGAGCAGATGCAGTCGAATGGTGGTGTAGGCGAAGAATACCGAAATTACCTGGGGCTGCCAAAAGAGCCCTCGTGGTGCTGTTGGGTAATCATTGGGCTGTTCACTGCAGGGTCGGCAGTTCTAACCCACCAGCTACTGGGCGATCAATGAGGCTATCTGCTCCCAGAAAGATCTACAGCCTTGGAAACTCTATCTAGGGTCCGTTTGAGTTGGGGATACACCCAATGGCAGTGGGTGCATGGGCAGGCAAAAGGAAAAAAAAGGAAAAAAAATCTGTCTTGTTAGAAGAACAGCCAGAATGCTCCTTCGAAGGTCGGATGGTAAGATCGTTGCCTCAAGCATGTTGGATATGAGATCAGGAGGAACCGGCCCTTGGAGAAGCCCATCATGTTTAGTAGAGGGTCACTGGGAAAAAAATGAAGACCCTCCTATAAATGGCTTGACAGAATGACTGCAGCAGTGGGCTCAAAGGGTAATAACAATTGTGAGGTTGGCGCAGCACTGGGCACTGTTTCATTCTGTTGTGCACAAGGTTGGGACCAGCTTGATACCACCTAACACCAACAAGCCTGGAAGCAAGTTCCAACAAATACCAAACAATCAGCATTCTGCATATCACATCCCATGAAGCAATGCATCCAATTTTAAGGCATACAAGAAGCAAATGCCTGAGAAACATGATTTGGACATTAAATCTAGACTTCAAAATCAGACACTGCCTCATAATGGAAACTAGAAACGTTAGGACTAAATATGAAAGAAAACACTGATTATCACAATCTAGAGCAGCGGTTCTCAACTGTGGGTCGCGACCCCTTTGGGGGCTGAACGATCCTTTCACAGGGGCCATCTGAGACCATCGGAAAACAGATATTTCTGATGGTCTCAGGAACCAAGACACCACTCCTCTATCCGTCTCCAGAGGGTCTTCCCACATGCAGATATGCCCATATGCAAGTACCCGGCATGAAGACTTAGCCATGCTACACCCTGCTTCAAGACAAAATTTCATTTATTGGTCATTAGAAATAATATTTCGCAATATATAATTACATTTTGTTTTTGTGATGAATCACGATGCTTTCATTATGTTCAATTTGTAACAATGAAAATACACCCTGCCTATCAGATATTTACATGATGATTCATAATAGTAGCAACATGACAGTGATGAAGTAGCAAGGAAAATAATGTTATGGTTGGGGTCCTCACCACGTGAAGAACTGTGTGAAAGGGTCGCGGAGTTAGGAAGGTGGAGAACCGCTGCTCTAAGAGGATGCCGCTGAAGAAGTCGAAGAGAAAACCGATAGACTTGACCGCATGAGTAGAAATGGAAGCTTAATGCTGAGGTTCTATGCCGACAGATTAAAAAAGAATAGTAGTCTAAACCAAACAAATAAAAATAGTAGAAATAATGAAAGGGAGAACAAAAATGGGGTAAAAATAAACCAGGCTTGTTGACTGACTAATAAAATAGACAAACCCCTAGGAAGATTGAGAATAAAACTCAAAAGCTCAAACTCCCTGCTATCCAGTGGATGCCTGCTCAGAAGACCCTCCAGTGGAACTGCCCCTGTGGTGTCTGAGACGGTAACTGTTTCTGAGCGTGGACACCCTCATCTTTCTCCCCGGGAGGGAGTGGTGGTTTCTGAACTGTGACCTTGCAGTTAGCAGCCCAAGAGAGAAGCAACAAACAATTCCGGGAATGAAAAATGGGATATCAGTAACAATAAAAGAACATATATTTCAAAAAGTGATCTATAACAATCTTAAAACGTTGAACTAGGAATTAAAAATCCACTCCTACCTGTACATACTCACTGAACAAAACCACCGCCATAAACTATAGCCCTGACGGCCCGAGTGATTTCACAGGAGAGTGGTGGGAAACCTTACAGAAATAGTTTCAGGGAATACAGAAGGAGGCACAGCCCTCACGCCCTCCACGAGGCCTCTAGGGCAATGCTGCAAGCCAGGGCAGAGCTGCGCGAGACGTGAGGAAACTTAGAGGCCAAGTGCGCTGTGAAATAATTAATGTGCAGTAAACCAAATGGAGTAGTGAGTTTGAAAGGCTGCACATACATACCACACATCACGTTGCTGTCCACAGCACGCAAGTAAGCAGCCAAAAAACGCATCCAAGCGATTCCAACTCAAGTGAGCCTGTAGGACTGAGACGAACTGCCCCCGTGGGTTTCTGAGGCTGAAACTCATCACAGGATCAGAAAGCCCGTCTTTCGCCCTCAGAGCGGCTGGCAGTTTTAAATTGCTGGCCTTACCGTTAGCAGCCCCATGTACGTATATGCCATGATGCCACCAGGGCTCCTAAAAACCCCAGAAGTGGTATTAAAAATCTCCAAACACCCTCGGAGCCTGCACTGGGGCAGGAGGTGCTGGAGGCCCGCTTGGGCACCAGATGAAGCGGAGGGAGATGGCATTTCACACTGACAGGACCGGGACACGGGGACTGGTTTGCTGATGGGCACACTGGGTGTGCCAGCGGGACGATCCCTAGTAAAGCTGTAGCCACTTGTCCCTTTGTGGTGCGGCCATTCCCCTTGCAAATGTCCTCTAGCCTGGTTCCAGGGCTTCTCAAACTACGACCTCACATCCACCTGTGACAACTCACCTGCGTGTAGTGGGTGCACGTGGCGTTGCGGGTGCACTCATTTGCGGCATGGCTATACTGCTGCCCCTCTGCGAACCACAGGTTGATCACTTCGACAAAGGATGCCGAGCCCGCAGGCAGCAGCTGCACATTCCAGCCCATCTGTCGAGGGTGCTCTGGGCTGGCTGCCAGGCTCGATGCCAGGGCCCCGCAGAGGGTGGCCCGGTCCTGAGCCAGTCGAGCCAGCCTCTCACTCCAGTCCTGGGGGCACAAACACAGACACCAGTGGGGGCCCTGAGTGAAGGGGAGGAGACTGGTGGCCCAGGTTTGTCACGCAAGTATCCTGCTGGATAGATCACCTAACCTGACGGAGCTGACTTCCCTTCCCGACCCAGGGCCAGTGAGGGTCAGACATGACCGGCGAGTGTTCTGTGTGCTGGAAACATAGCTGAGACGCTCCATTGGCTTCACCCCTGCTGTGGGCATGCCTCGCCCAGACGTGGGATAGGTTCCTGCTATCCTTGACCCCACTGATAGGGTGAGCCTGGGGCAGTGGCCAGGCCTTTCAGATGGGTGAAGCTGGTCGAAGCCATTGTCAGAAAGGTGCATCCGGCCAAGTGTCCCTCCTGCCCTGGAAGGACCCCAGCAGACACGAACCCCTATCCCAACCCATGGCCGTGGCGTATGCAGGGGGAAGTGACGTGCCAGAGGGCTCTCTGAGCCACATACCAGTGGACGACTCCAACACACACACACACACACACACACACAAACGCCAGCAGTCTTGACCTCTGCTGACAGTAAGGTGACCCCACTGCGCTCGCCTGTGTGCATGCACACACACGTGTGCAAGCGCGCATGCCATCCAGCCCAGCCACCTCCTCGGGCTGTGTGACCCCCAGGAGTGGCTAGACTCCACAGACGTGGCACCTGTGTATTAGGGTGCTGGGGCGGCCGAGGCATGGAGGGAGGGATGAGGGGCTCGGCTGGGCCTGGCCCCCAGTGGGCCTGGGCTGTGCTGTGGTGGCATCTCAGGTGAGGAACTGCTGGGCCTTCAGCGGCCCTACACTCCCTGGGGGGCTGAAGGGGTTCCCTGGTATCTGAGAAGCCTGCAGGGGTGCCCAGAGCCCAGAGCCTGAGGCTCAAGGTGTGAGGGAGCCTGGGGGAGGTGGGGGAGGGCGCTTCTATCTTATTTTGAATGCCATTTTCTAAGACCCTAACAGAAGGCCAAAGTGCACAAACTGCTAGCCAGCTGATCCTATCTGTGGCCCCTGTCTGACAGGGTTCCAGATGAGACCCCTGCACTGGGTGCTACAGTTGGGAAGGTGGGCAGTGGGCTTGGGCTGAGGAGGAGGCAGAACTGTGGGAGAAGGCACCATCCCCCATCCCATCCTCCCCACAGTCCTGGGAAACTGACCCCAGATCGCTCAGGGTTGACTACCAGTGCTGCTGCCTCAGAGGAGGTCACAGGAGGCAGCCATGGGGAACCTGCCGCCCCACCCTCGCTCCCAGGCCTGCCAGCAGCAGCCTGGGCTGCGGGGACCCTGGACTAGGGGGGGCAGTGTTTTCAAGCCCCAGGATGAAACCAACCGCCCCCACATGAATCAAGGCAGGAGCAGGATTTTGGAGAGGCCCCCTCTTAACAAGCGGGTTTCCAATGCCCACCCCTCCATCCCTGCAGATGCATCTCCTTCCTTGTCTCCCAGCCTGCCGGTCCTGCTGGGCCTTCTTTGTGAAACTCTTTTCTGGAGGAGGGGACCTGGCACCTTCTTGGCATCTGGTCTCCATGGCAACGGGATCCGGAGGGCAGGCCCAAAATTCTGCTCTTCAGTCAAGTGTGAGCCAGGGGCCCAGTCTCCTGCACTAGGAGTCACCCTGGGGAGGGGGAAGCCACAGAGCGCCGCAGCAACGAGGACCATGTCCTCCCAGTGGGCCTGGGAATACAGCTGCCCGGGGGCTGGCCATGGCCGCACAGCCCCTCACTCACCATTCTCTGCATGTTGGCAGCCGGTGGGTGGACTCTACTGCGCAGACGGTTGTGTAGGGAGAGAAGCTGGAAGCGCTCCTTCCTGCTCAGGCCTGGGAGGTGGGGATGGGGTGCTCGTGAGCAGCAGGACAGGGCCTGTGCCCTGGAGCATGGGAGGGGTGACTGGGAGAGACGCAGAAACACCCCTGCCCTGAAGAAGCCAGGATTGAGGGCTATGGGAGATGATGATGATGATGGTGGCAGGTGGATGGGCAGGAGCCAGAGAAGGAACTTGGCTGGTAGAGGGTCTGGTTGCAGCTTTGGGAGCCCCTCAACCCCCGCTTCCTGGGCTCCATGCTTTCCCCCTCCCCAGGACCAGCTATCCCTTCCAGCTCTGGACTGACTGTCCAGTGGGTCTATCACAAAAGTCACCAGCACCGCCCAGGGCTCAGGCCTGGGGACCACGGAGGTCCCAAGCCCCACCTCTCCTCACCTCCGAGCAGCATAGCGGGCCTCTCCTGTAGTTGCAACGGCCACGTCTCTGCCCAGGCCATGCCCAGCAGAGCCAGGAGCACAGGCAGAAGTGGCTCCAGGGTGGGTGCTGGCTGCAGCATACTAGACGTCCAGTTGCTTTGCGGGCCAGTCAGCTAGAGTGGTTCACACCCTCAAGGAGTCAGGCTGGTGGCTAAAGGGGGAGGCTGTTGAGTGATCCTGTCTAAACAGCCTCCCATCGGGGCTGGCATGGGAGGAGACAGACAGCTCCTAGGTTCACCCTCCTCTAGTGGCCTCTGGCCTGCCCGCAGCTCCGCCCCCAGCAGAACCAGCGGTGCGCACTGACCCTGCCTGCAGCCCCTGCTAATCATTGCAGGATTATCAGCACCCTCTGGGAGCCCCGGAGACCCTGCTGATTGGATCACAGACATTCCAGACCTGTGGATTAGTGAGAGGTGGCTGTGCCTCAGCCCATGTCCTCTGAGCCCCTGGCTGGTTTCCACTAGCCAGCCTCAGGCCTGGGGAAGAGGCTGGGGCCTTGGCAGTGAGTCCTGAAGCGGGCAGGGACTGGGCAAGACCCCTCAGGGGAGTTCTTCCCTTTCTGGGGGAGCTCTTCCCAACCCCCAGCCGTGAATTAAACATGAGCAGGTGGTAACAGCACACCAGGCAGGTGCCTCTGATCGGGAAACCGGTGGTGGACATGGAGGGAGGGGACTAGGGCTGTACCTGTGGGCGAACGGCAGCATCTCGGTGGGCACAGTGTGGGGCGCGGGAACCCAGCCCTAGCACCCCACCCTCACCCACCTGACTGGGGGGCATGGCAGGCAGGGAGGAGAGCCCTTGCTGCCCTTGGCTGGGAACAAGTCTGCACCGTACTCACAGACGTCTCAGGAGGGCAGCAGCTCCCATAGTGCTCTGCTCCAGGGCCTGGCTATGCTTAAGGAGACTGAACTTCTTAGAAAACTAGGAACTACTGTTCGGCAGACCACAGCCGGTCGCCCACCTTGCTCCCAGCGCAGATCAAAGACCATTCCGCATCCCATAGGACTCTCTGTGGGACAGCTACTTCTGCCTGCAGGAGTTTGCATGACCTTGGCCTCTCAGAGCCCAGCATCAACTTCCTGGAAACCCTCATGAGATGTAAGTGGTCTCTGGGGAATATCATTGTGGGCACTGAGCAAGGCCAGGCACATGGACACCCCCCCACACACACCCAACAACCTCAGGGGTTTCTCTACCTCTCGCAACCTTGACCTCTCCACATCCACTCCCATCCATGCTTAGGATCAGCTGGGTTGCCTAGAGACACAAGACCAATGACATTTACCCATGGGGATAAGAAGCAGCTGTATATGAAGTAATTTTCGATCAAGAAGGCACCCAGCACAGTCCCAGTAATGATGACCAACTCATGTTGTGGGTCCAATGCTAGCCAGGGCCCTCTGCAGATGCGCACAGCTGCAGGCCCATGATACAGGGAGATCTCAGGGTCTCTGCCCCTGGAGGCAGAAACAGAATCCAGGCAAACAGAATGTGAGGGGCCAGAGAAGGGTTTCACTGTCTCTCTTGTAAAACAGATCATAACCCCCAAGGAGGCATCACCAGGCTACCTACCACCTGATTGACAGGCTGGAGTCCATCCCCCACACAAGCACCATCAAGTGGGCATAAAATCTAACTCCCACATTCAGATAACTCCTGCTTTCAGGATGACACAACATATCAAACACCTAGTTTTACTGCTACAGTAACTGGCAGCAGATGCTTGACATTTTTTGGACAAGGTAACCAGGGCTCAGTGTATCCAAGGGACTAGTTAGTCTAAGGCCCCCCAGCCAGTGCCCACGCAGTTGTCACTCAGCCAGGATCTCTGCGTTGATCCTCCCACTCCTTTAACGCAGAGCAGGAATTGTTCCGCTGTCCGTTTCCACAGCCCTGGTGGAGAGTGGGCCACTGCATTGAGCTGCTAACCAGAAGGTCCGGGATCAGAAGGCCCCAGCTTCCCTGTGAGAGAAAGACGAGGCTGCTACTCCGGTGAAGATTTGCTGTCTCAGAAACTCAAAGGGGCAGTTCTGCTTGTCCTGGAGAGGGTCACTGTGAGTTGCAATGGCAGTGACTTTAGACTTGGTGAGTTTTCAGCACGATGCTGAGATGAGCCCTGGAGGGGCAGTGAATTAAGCAGTGCGCTGCTAACGACAAGGACAGCAGTTCACACTCACTGGTTTCTCTGAGGGATGAAGAAAGAGGCTGCCTGCTCTTCTAAAGATTTACAATCTCTGAGGGGCCGGCCCCAATCCCAGCTACTACATGGACACCTGCCCCTTCCCCCAGAAGAATTTATTTCAAAGGACGGCATTGAATTTACAGCTCCGGGAGAGGGACATATCTGATCGGAG